GAACCTTCCGACGATCAGGAGGAAGGTAATTTCGCAAATCTAAATAACTTATAATATAAATCCGGCATTTATTCAAGACTTGTGTCACTTGTGTTTGCCTAACATTTACTTAAACACAATAACTACTATTAATAACAACCTATAGGCTATAGCCTATATTAATAATCTTGTTCGTATCAAATTTTTATATTTTTAGTAATTTTATCTATCGTACTTATTATAATTGTATTTAATTTATTTTTGCGTTATTACAGTTTTTAGTAAAGCATATTATTTTAGGATACCTATTGTAGTAATCTCATCATCCACAGGTGTCRTTGACAAATGACAAGGAAAAGGTTGAAATGTAGCCAGTGTATAGACTGTGTATAGAGTATTAAAAGACTTCTTAGACTTGATATCTTTACTGTATTATTGCTTATTGAATGTTCTAATCAAACACATTGTCTAGGGTTACGAAATCCTAGTAATATTATAGGTACTATAATAATAGTGATAACATATTATAAATAATGTAAAATCATACATAGAACAACTTTTAAATTAGTTATGTGGATTTTCAAATATTTATACTTTACACACTCATAACTCATTTAAAAATTAAAATATCGTAAAAAAWCAATGAAAGAACACAGATAATGTTCTTACCTAAAAATTTAATGATAGGTCAATTCACTCCTCTTAAAATAGCGCATACGTATAAAATATATATACATATATATARTAATATAACATAATATTTTAATACTTTTGTATTTGTAAATTGATAATCAAAAATCGTCAAACGCCCAACAACGAGTGTAGTTATTGTAGTGAACACGTCGCCTACAGATATCAGTATAGTCAAGGATGATGTTGGAAGGTGACTCTTGAATTAATTTTTCTGAATGACTAGAATAAATTCGGTTTGAYTCGAATATTTTCTAAGTTCAGAATATTATTTTACGAGAATTTTCCTARGTCCAATTTAATTAATTAAAGAACAGACTGGCGTGAAAGTGCTCTGGTTAGTCTGGTCAAGTCGCGTCTGAATACAGGCCGTTTCGGGGTCTCTTATATAGTGATA